TCACTGTATAATGGACTGGTAAGCTTGAAAAAAAACTTACAATTTCCATAATGAACTTGAAATCAGGAAGTGTACTCATACCAAAACTTCATGCCACTTATCCCACCTACTAACCCCTGTACTTGAGGACAATCTGTCGTCCCTAGGCTCGGCCTCGACAAGATCCTCAAGACCACCCTACTAATACCAAAGCCTCACCATCTCATCATAAAAAAACAACTTTAAAGTTCCGCCGCTTTAGGTCCGCCAAGTTTCCTTCCCGTCATGCTAAGAAAATTACGTCAAGTGCTAAACACAATCAGACTCGCCTTTATTACGTCAAAGCCATCGCCTCTATACACTTCTGCCAAAATGAACACACAACCAGGTAGGCTTTCAATTACTGCTCTTTCCAAACACACCGCTAGGTGTCGTCCTTACACTGTAGGCCTGTGACAGGTCCCACAATGCACCTCACTCAACTTTGACCTGCCCCATTGCATGACGGGAAACAACATGGCGGCGCCCAAAAAATCCAGGTAAAATAGAACAGGTTTTGCTATCGCAAACCTGTAAATAAATAAAAAGAGATTGTTGGGTTAGATCTGGTTGGGAATTTTTTGACGTAATGTAGGGCCATTGTGCTCAAAATTGATTGGATAGACTAGATGGCTGTCATTCAAATTATTGGGTTTTGGCCTATGTAAAGTTACGTATTTTGCCATAGGCGGCCATAGTTAACAAAAACTCAAGAATGAGACCATAAGCGGACTATGGCGTGGAGATGGGTGTCGTTGGACTTCTGGCCGCCGATTTACTACGTACAACTTACTATAAGCAAGGAGGTTAAACCTCCTTGCTATAAGGTACAACTTACTATAATTAAGCATAAGGTAGAATTCAGAAGGCCTTTACAGCACGCTTATTTTATCGGATTTGGCGCATGCAATTACACGCTCGTTCTCATTGAAAATGTCGCCACACTTTACAACTAAATATGAGCCAAATCACGAACCTCATCACTGTTTTCTGCACTTCCCCACTACACGTGATAAGTTTCACGAAATATGTAACACAGCGTAACACTAGGTTTGGTTGATAATTTGAAAGAAATTATAGCTGCGCGTTGGATTTCTCACCCGAAAAAAATTATGGCTGTCGCCTGAGAAGACATAAGGTACCTTACAGGTGTGACAGGTGAGTTTACTTGAACTATAGACTAGGTAAGGTACCTTACAGGTGTGACAGGTGAGTTTACTTGAACTATAGACTAGGTAAGGTACCTTACAGGTGTGACAGGTGAGTTTACTTGAACTAGGGACTAGATAAGATACCTTACAGGTGTGTCAGGTGTGTTTGCTTGAATTAGGGACTAGATAAGGTACCTTACAGGTGTGTCAGGTGAGTTTGATTGGACTAGAGACTAGGTAAGGTACCTTACAGGTGTGACAGGTGAGTTTGCTTGGACTTGAGACTAGGTAAGGTACCTTACAGGTGTGACAGGTGAGTTTGCTTGGACTTGAGACTAGGTAAAGTACCTTACATGTGTTTTAGGTGAGTTTACCTGAACTAGAGACTAGATAAGGTACATTACAGGTGTCACAGCTACCTCACTTAGCCTCTAGTCCAAGCAAACTTACCTGTCACACCTGTAAGGTACCCCATCTAGTCTATAGTTCAAGTAAACTCACCTGTCACACCTGTAAGGTACCCCATCTAGTCTATAGTTCAAGTAAACTCACCTGTCACACCTGTAAGGTACCTTATTTAGTCTATAGTTCAAGTAAACTCACCTGTCACACCTGTAAGGTACCTTACCTAGTCTATAGTTCAAGTAAACTCACCTGTCACACCTGTAAGGTACCTTACCTAGTCTGTAGTTCAAGTTAACTCACCTGTCACACCTGTAAGGTACCTTACCTAGTCTATAGTTCAAGTAAACTCACCTGTCACACCTGTAAGGTACCTTATCTAGTCTATAGTTCAAGTAAACTCACCTGTCACACCTGTAAGGTACCTTACCTAGTCTGTAGTTCAAGTAAACTCACCTGTCACACCTGTAAGGTACCTTACCTAGTCTCAAGTCCTATCAAACTCACCTGACACACCTATAAGGTACATCACCTAGTGTCGAGTCAAATCACACTCATAATAGGATGCCTAAGCCTGTTTTTATTTTTATTTTTTTTATTTTCGTCCGTCTTCTCCATTATTTTTCTAGAAAAATCTGTTAACCAAGAAATTAAAGTGGTGTGGCCTAAGGCATAACATTTTATAGTAACTAGATTCATTACCTCTAGTACCTGTGGACATTTCCCGTATATTGATAATGCATTGTATATTATTTTTAGCACAATTCAATTATTATTAAAGCTGAAAATACACCTACACTCTTGTTTCAATAGACTTTTATTTTCAGTGTAGTTCAAGTCAGTATACAATACATGAACTGTAAATACACAGCATCAAAATCCTAGGTTTCTGAGCACAGGGGTTCGGAACATAGGTCATGCTCGAAAATCACACTGGAATGTGTGGCATTATAATAATAAGGTAGAGTTAGGATTTATAATTACATTATGAAATAGACACAATATTCTACTTAATTACGTCTGTTAAGGACCTTTCAGTGGTCTCATCGCTTGCTGTTTCAATCGTTATGTAAGCTATTATTTTGAGACGTTAAACTTTCCACCAGAAAGTGTGACATTAGAAAATGAGACACACATACACACACAGACAGACACGCCAAAAAAAAATACCTCCATTTTTCATGGAGGTAATAATAATAATAATAATCAAAGGTCCCGAAGACTAAGAGTAACACAAATATTACTTGTGCAGTGACTTACCTAGTTGCTACATAACATAACAGGGCCTCATAAATTACTAATTTTATGGTGTCTAACCTCTTCAGATAAAACCACCACACAAATATCTCCTGTATGGTGTCTACATAAAAAGACTGAATAAATATCACATGCACAGTGCCTTGCCTAGTTCCGAGACCTTAGAGCCGTGAATATAATAACCGTACAGTGTCCAAACTGGTCCCAACACTGACAGCAGTGAATACATTACCTGCACGGTGCCTTGCAAATACAGCCGTGCAAATATTACCTGTACGGTGCCTCACCAGACCGCAGACCTAAGAACCATGAAAAAATTACCTATACAGTGCCTTACCTGGTCCCTAGACGTAAAAACTCTGCATATATTACCTGTCCACAGTGCCTTACCTGAACGCAGACCAAAGAGACGTGCAAATATTACCTGTACGGTGTCTCACCTGGTCCTCAGACCTGACAGCCATGCATATACATTTGTATTACCTGTACGGTGCCTTACCTGGTCCCCAGACCTAAGAGCCGCACAATTATTACCTGTACGGTACCTTACCTGGTCCCTAGACATAAGAGCCACGCAATTATTACCTGTACGGTGCCTTACCTGGTCCCCAGACTGAAGAGCCGCGCAGTTATTACCTGTACGGTGCCTTACCTGGTCCTGAGACCTAAGAGCCGTGCAATTATTACCTGTACGGTACCTTACCTGGTCCCCAGACTGAAGAGCCGCGCAATTATTACCTGTACGGTGCCTTACCTGGTCCTGAGACATAAGAGCCGTGCAATTATTACCTGTACGGTACCTTACCTGGTCCCCAGACTGAAGAGCCGTGCATATATTACCTGTACGGTGCCTTACCTGGTCCTGAGACCTAAGAGCCGTGCATATATTACCTGTACGGTGCCTTACCTGGTCCTGAGACCTAAGAGCCGTGCATATATTACCTGTACGGTGCCTTACCTGGTTCCTCCACCTGAGCCGTGCATATATTACCTGTACGGTGCCTTATCAGGACCCCAGACCTGACAGCCGTGCAATTATTACTTGTACGGTGCAAATGTTTCCTGTATTAGCTGCCTTACCTAGCCCCAGAGCTAAAAAAAAGAGCCCAGGTGTAAGAGCCACACAAATATAACGTTGACAACCAATTTGGTCCCCATTACCTACATGTAACGTTATATGGAGTGTTACCTGGTCCCCGGAGCTTAAGTTAAATCCCCTCAAATATGATCTAAACTATGCTTTTCCTTGTCCCCAGAGGTAAGAGCCACACAAATGCAGTGAATATAGACGTAAAAGTTTACGTTTTTGCACGTAAATCGAGGGAAAGACGCAGGTAGCCCTCCACATACTACCGAAACTGAGGTATTGATGCAGCATATCTCCCTATACTACCGAAATTGAGGTATTGCTGCAGCATATGAGTAGCAGTCCAGTGTCCTGACCAATAGCAGCGTGGCTGTTCATCGTCACAACGTCACTTCCGGTCTTCCGACCTGAGAGCAATAGGATCTAACGACAACCGGAACCCGCGTACCTTACAGGCAGAACCTAGCAGCTCATTCGGGAACACAATTTGTGTGTTAAATAGTGATTTTTATCACCAAAAACTTCAAATATCTACTAAATCAATAACATTTTGATAGTAAAACTACTTTGTTGATAATTTAGATAGCGCTGAAATATTTGAGTAATTTTTGTAACATATCTGTGTAATCTTGACATGTTAAGATACAAATGCAGGAACATGCTTACTGTGGATGGCTGAGTTCTCGCGATAAATCCCGAGACTGACGCAGGCCGAACGCAGCGGAGGCGGCCATGTTTCTGTAGAACGGAGTTTCCATGCCTCTTTTCAAGTCTCAAAACAGGCCAAAAACTGGTTCTATACCATAGGTGAGCCTTCCTGTAGTTTGTGGTGTAAGTTGTGAATTGTGGATATCGTTCTAGAAGGCTTCTGGTGCTTGCATTTTGAGAAATACGAGAGTTGGCGTGGGCATGGCACCCTGCGTGCTCGCGAGCATGGCGGCATCTTTTGTTTGGAGAGATATCATTTTTTTGCCAGGTCAACCACTTTTAATCGGCGAATGTCCGTTATTTGGCTTTTTATAGGAAGTGACATAATGTTTCTGGTATTTTTGTTCTGTCGATAGGTACTGTTATTCGGGTGTTGGAGTTGCAAAATTATTCAAGTTACCCTAGAAGTTTTGCCCCCCTCCCCACCAAGCTAAAATTATGCTACGAAAATTTGAAAGTGATAATTTGCTGCACCTATCCTTTGCGCATCTTCTTCTTCTTCTTTGCACATCTAACTGTAAGCATAATTGTTCAAAACTATCTAGTGATGATGCCCTAACTGTTGTACTTAGTTACAGCAACTTACTTACTTAGACTTAGGGGCTCCCGCGTCTCGTGACGCATGAGGCAGTCAAAGCAGCCCAGCTTCCTCTGTCAGCAGCCAGCCTCAAGGCTTCCTTCCAGCTCATGCTGACTGCCTGAAGGTCCCTCTCCACTGTCTGTCGCCAGTTCATCCTTGGGCGCCCCCTTCTTCTCCGTCCTTCTGGGAACCACTGCAGGACTTGGTTGGCTAGTCTGACAGGTGGAAGTCTGACAGCGTGTCCTAACCAACTGAGCCGGCGTTTGCAGATGATGGAGGACACTGGTTGTTGCTTAGTTTGAAGTCTGATGTTATCATTCGAGATAAAGTCATCCCATCTAATGCCCAGGATTTTCCTTAGACACTTGCTGTCGAAGGAATCAAGTCTCCTTTCTTGACTTAGTTTCAGGTGCCAGGTTTCGCAGCCATACAAAAGTGTTGACAGGACGTTGCTGTTGTAAAAGCGCATCTTGGTCTTGAGGGACAGTTTCTTGTTTCTCCAGAGTTTGCCCAGCTGGTTAAATGCTGCTGAAGCCTTACCAACTCTGCAGTCAAGTTCTTTGTCCATGTCACCATTGCTATTGATGGAGCTTCCAAGATAAGTGAAGTTTTGAACTATTTCCACTTCCTTCCCATCAATGAACACAGATGTAGGTGGCGGATGAGATCCTGTCAGCATATTCTTGGTCTTCTTGCCACTGATGGTGAGGCCTATTCCTCCTGCTGTGGAACCAATCTCGCTCACTAGGGCCTGGAGATCCTTTGTGGATTCTGCTAAGCCGGCAATATCGTCTGCGAAGTCAAGATCAGACAGTCTTTGTCCTTGCAGCCATGGTATTCCTTTATCCTTAGTTGACTGTTGCAGCACCCAATCTATGGCAAGGGCAAACAGTATTGGAGACAGCACACATCCCTGGCGGACCCCAGTCACCACCTCAAACCACCCGCTGAACCCATCATCTGTCCTTACACAGCATTTGGAGTCAGCATATATGTGTTTGATAGCTGAAATGACTTTGTTGGGTAGTCCGTACATTTGCATGATGTTCCATAATGAGGGCCTGTGAATGCTATCAAACGCTTTAGTAAAGTCAATAAAGCTGATAGCCAGTGTGGACTGAAACTCATTGCACTTCTCTATTATGCGTCTCAGGGTGAATATTTGTTCCGCACAAGATCGCTTGGGTCGGAATCCTGCCTGCTGCTCCCTCAGTTCTTCGTCAACTGCATCTCGTATGCGGTTCAGGATAGCATGGCAGTAGACCTTTCCTGGGATGGACAGGAGTGTAACCCCTCTCCAGTTGTCGCATTCTGCAAGGTTGCCTTTCTTGGGGATGCAAACCACTACTCCATTTCTCCAGTCCTCTGGTACTTCCCCCCGGTTCCAGGCATTGTTGCAGAGCTGGCACATCCATTTGACAACGGATTCCCTTCCAGCTTTTAGCATTTCTGCGGTAATGCCGTCCATTCCTGGGGACTTGTTGTTCTTCAGGTTCTTTATGGCCTCATGTATTTCCGGCTCAGTAAAGTCACTGGTGTCAATCGGGAGGAGGTGAGAAGGTGGGTCAGTGACTGCTGGTGAGGTTGGGTCTGGTCTGTTTAGAACTTCCTTGAAGTGCTCTGCCCACCTGGCAAGCTTGTCCTCTCCTTTGGACAACAGGGTACCATCTTTGGCCTTGACAGGACCCATGCTAGCTTTTGAGTTGCCAGTGATCTTCTTGGCGATCTGATATACGGTACGCATATCATTCCGAGTTGCGGCTCTTTCTGCTTCATCAGCCTGACTCTCCAACCATTTGCGCTTGTCCCTTTGGGCGCTGCGCTTAACTTCACGGTCTTTGTCGGAGTATTCCTGGTATATACTACTACTTGCCGACTTGGCCTTATGTCTCCTCTGATGCAGTGACTTCCTTTCATTGATCAGCTTCCAAGTTTCGTCGCTGATCCACGCTTCCCTGAGGGATTTCTTGTAGCCGAGGACTTTCTCACCTGCTTCATTCATTGCTTGCTTAAGTTCATCCCACCATTCCACAGTTCCCGGTGGAGGGACTGCCAGGGCAGAGAACCTGTTTCTCAGTAGAGATTCGAATTGGTTTTCCTTCTCAGGGTCTTTTAGCTTAGCTTAGCTTAGTTACAGCAAGTCCCACTCTAAACAGGTATACAGATACAGAAACGGTTTCCTCTGAACTAAACTGTTTCTTGTGTTTGTGATTCCAGTGAGCCTGTCTCCTGTCTACCATGACAGCGTACAGCTTCATGCCTGTATAAGTTGAATTAGTATAACTATAACATGCTTCTTGTTTGTGATTCCAGTGAGCCTGTCCTCCTCGTCCACCATGGTCAGCGTACAGCTTCATGCCTGTATAACATAACATGCCTGTATAACATAACATGCTTCTTGTTTGTGATTCCAGTGAGCCTGTCTCCTGTCCACCATGGCAGCGTACAGCTTCATGCCTGTATAACATAACATGCCTGTATAACATAACATGCTTCTTGTTTGTGATTCCAGTGAGTAGTTCCTGTAAACTGGTCTCCTGTCTACCATGGCAGCGTACAGCTTCATGCCTGGACATGGAGTCCCCGACTTCATGTCGGAGGAGAAACTACAGGAGAAAGGTAAGAACAAGAGGGCCCACCCACCACATGTTAAAGACATTCAGTACTAAGTGCTGTTTACCTAAACCCATATTTAGGTTCAGGTCCGTCCGGATTCAAGTCCAGAGGTTTAGGTTCAGTTCCGGACCTAAACCCATGGCACATACAAAATTGCATGTTGGCAATGATTTTGGGTGCAATTCGAACAATTTAAAGTAACGTTAAACCTTGCGTCAAAAACAGTCACTCAAGCAACCGGATATGATTTTTATGATTTCCAAAATCATATCCAGTTGCTTGAGTAACTGTTTTTTGGCATATCTTATTACCTGGATGTTTAATCTTCACTGATGTAACGTTAAACCTTTCCTGTTCAGCGCGGAAATGGCAGCAGCTCCAGTCCAAGCGGTACGCGGAGAAGCGAAAGTTCGGCTTCGTGGACGCGCAGAAGGAGGAGATGCCTCCGGAACACGTCCGCAAAATCATCCGGGACCACGGAGACATGACCAACCGCAAGTTCCGACATGACAAGAGAGTCTACCTCGGGTGGGTTTCAGTTTTTTCTGTAAAAAAGTGCTGTTGTGAGCCTCAGAGTCAAATGTTAGAATAGGCTAAAAGCTCTACATAGTATTCCAGTTCAGGTCATTTTTAAAAGTATTTTAAAAAAAATAAAGAAAATGACAGGTTGCGTGTTTACCTGTGGTAGGGTTTTAGTTTTTCTATGTGCTGTTGTAAACAGTAGCCAAAATCAATTACTACTCCAGTTCAGCTCATTTTTTTTAAATGTCAGGATAAAATGAAAACTTTTGTTGTGTAAATTTTCTAACATTCTGATGTTGGAATTTGGAGTTCTAACAATGAGTGTTCTTTTGTACGATACTAACTTCATTCTAACACAAAGGTACACAATCATCATATTTTCAGAGACCACTTCAGTCTCCGAAACGTTGGCTGAATAAAACACTTGGTTGTGAAACAGAGTCTCTTTACTCAGTGTCTTACCAACCTGATGAAACTATTCATGCAAGTCTAACACAATTGTTGTTTCCATGTTACAGTGCTCTGAAGTACATCAGCCTTCTCAAAAAAATTTAGAGTAGGTGGCTGATAAGAAAAAGTAGCAGGCGAGCCACGAAGTGGCTCGAAGCGAGCCGCGCAGCGGCTCGCAGGGGGGAGGGTACGGGAGGGGGGTGGCCCCTCCCGTACCCTTTTAGCCTATTCTAACATTTTTTAGCCTATTCTAACATTTGACTCTGAGGAAATCGTAAAAATTAGACCCCTAAACATCGTTTTTGGTACATTCTGAGCAGCTTTTATGGCAATCTTGTGGCTCCAAAATTTACTGTTCGTGCACAAATAATTCCGGAAAAAGGCTGTATTAAAATTGTTTGCCACTCCGATCGTATTACGCGCGGTCCTTGCGCCCGGCCACAAAATGCAGAAAAATAAAGAAAGCATATTTAAATGTCAATTTGATCGAAAAAATAATCATTGGGATGTGAAAAAATGTCACAGTTTCGCTTTTTGGAAGTTTTGTTTCTGTTTTGACGGTTTAATTCTAGCGGGGTGCGATCCATAAATGCCCTATGGAAATTCACCCCGCGTCCCGGTACACTGACTTCCGGGTTCCTTGAACAAGAAAATTACGAGAAAATGGCCAAAAATCGGCGTAGAGAAATATACATC